ACTGTAATGTGGTCCCATAACCTGCATAATATTTGATTCACATCTTCCAAAATAAAGTCCATGAAGGTATTAACAATAGTTGAATGGCATAGCACATTCCAGACAAGTTTAGATGACTTGTCCATATCTACAGTCCTAAAGAGGAATGTGGATTAGCCATATTCCTATGAATTAAACAAATCAATGGAATGGGTATATATTGAATAAGCAGTTTATTATTATTAATTAAAGCAAAAAAAATGTAATCTTCCTTTAGGTTGTCTCAATTATTTGTAATCTATGAAGCGAAGGTAAATTAAATCATTTTTGAAGGTAAGTTGAGCTGTGTTGAGAAATTTCCATTGTCATTGATGTTAGGGTAAAGGGGCATGTCTTAAGGCATACTTAAGAATGATGTCTTTATAGTTATGGACAGTCTCTTTTGCTCTGATAGTACTGTCTCCATGATTGACACTGGTATTGTGAAAGTAACCTTAGAAGTCAGATAATGGATTTTTTTTAAACATGGTTCTGTGACGATCTAGTTCTGAATCTTTTATTTTACTGTGCACAATACAAAGGAAGACCAGCTTGCATGGCTGTAGGCCAAATGAATGAGTTAATTAAATAGAAATACCACAGAAAGCTCTCATAGAGATCTTGTTTTGTTTACAAAGGCACCCTGCTCTTTGCAGAAACTGATAAGAGGTCAGATAAACAGAATGCTTCTAAAGGCAGAGCTCTTTGCATTAAACAAAAAGGTTTTTATTAGTGGATCTGAGCAAAAGACACTGATGATGTCTGGTTTGTGATATTTCTTAAATGTTACTTCAAAAGGATAAGAGGAGAAGATATCAATATTTTAATAAAGCTCCAACAGCTTCACACATTAAGCTTTGCGGAATGCACCCATTTAACATGTGATAACAAATGTCTATAAAATCAATAAAAGTGACCTAAAATGCCATTAAAGAGGTTTTATTACCATAGGACAGCGAGTAAGAAAATATACAGTTTTATTTATTGACCATGTACAGTAGTTGTTCTTCTGAAGTGAAGAATGGAACATTTTTCCACGCTTACACAATGAAAGTTCTTTCATCCAGAACATTTATCTTTTAAATCTTTTCTTGCCTTAAAGATATGCATATGTTTTTCTTTGGAATATTTGTTCCAAAGAATATAAAAATAACACTACCTCCAATCCAGTACTTGGAAATACTACATACAGTATATTGAAAAGAAACATTGACAACATTTACATAAACCAGATGGGCTGGTTTGCTTTTGTTTAGAGATTACATTAATAATACTCTACATACTTTATATACTTCTAAAACGTAATTTGGAAAATACGTAGTCTTAAGCAATAAGGCAGTGCTGCGGTTAGCATTGATTAAATGTTCCCTACATACAGAATATCTTAATGGGTTAGATATAATGATACAAGTGTGTATGCCCTGATGAAGGCTTCTGAGTGATGAAAAATTAACAACATTAATTGTTTTGGGTATAAATAGAGTAAACGTCCATCTTAATATTCTCATTATGGCCAGTTGGTTTTAAGTGGGTTCTCTGGTTACCTCCCACAGCCTACAAACATGCTATCTGCTGTATGTTAATTGGTTTCTTAGAACTGACCCATGTATGACAGTGAGTGTCCCCTGCAATGGACAGGCAACCCATCCAGGGTGTATCCTGCGTTGTACCCATGCTCTGCCAGGTTAGACTCCGAATCACAGCGATTCTGACTAAGTCGTTGTTGAAAATGCACCAATGTCTATAGAAGGACAGCACTGCACCTTTTTCACATTTGTTCATTTCTTTAATTCGAATAGTATATTTGACACCATGATTTTTCACAAGCCTAAGGATGGCAATGCGAACCTGCACACACATTGTTGCTCTCCAGAACATGTTTTTAAGAGCTCACCATATGGTCCGTCTACAGAGTTAAAAAGACGGTACACTGCAATGTGGAATCTGTTTCTCTCCTGAGGCTGCGCAAATTAATTGAAAAAGTGTGTAATAAATCAAAGTCCAGAGAAGCCAAGTGGTCTAAGCAGCTGAAAGACAATATTGGAGATTAACTACCAGCAAACCTACAGAAGAAAGTCAACTTTGTTACTGAAATTAATTGCCTACGATGATGTTTATTTATTTTTTTTAATATTGAAAAAGTCTGGAACATGTTCACAATTTTAATCTTTTGATACTGATCCTAGGTGGCATGGTGGCCCAGTGGTTAGCATACATGCCTTGTGGTGATACAGTAGGATCCTGCAGTTCTATCTCTGTGGAGTTTGTATGTTCTCCCATGTTTGCATGGGTGTCCTCCAGGGCAGAGATCATAAGGAGAGCATACAAACTATGCAGGTATCACCCAGGGCTCCTAACATACAGTATCCCAAAATGTAAAAATCTAAGTCACGTTTCAACAAATTTCAATTTTCTTTCTTTTCAGGCGGCTTTTCTGGAGATCATGACCATTTCCTGACGATACATCAGCACAAGCCCGTGAGGCCCGTCATAGTTTATCAGCATGCCGAAGGCACCAAGAAGACAGACTTGGAGGACGTGAACAGGCAAACAAACATCTTCCATTCACCTTCGTATGCCAGGATAAGCAAAGTCCACCCATCCATGATTGTAAAATGCAGATTTCCTGAAGATACCCATGACCAAAGCATCAACTTGCTGGCTCAGACAGACCATGACCTGCAAGTTGAGAATTCTCCTGTTTCTGCCAGAGACTTGGTATCAGTGGTATGTGTTGCCATTTTTAACAGTCATTTTACTTATACAGTACATTCCCATATACTGCGTTTGACATATATGTGTTTGGCATAACCATAGTGCAAAGTGTTTGGAGCCATCCACCATGGCCAGGATGTGGAACTCCTGTTCTAGCTGTTCAGATATCATTGTACCGGTCTTCTCTCAACTGACAACTTCTCTCTTCCGACTCTTTCTGTATTTCTTGACAAATAATGTACAGTAGGGGTACCCTGACCACCTCATTTTATGGGTTTTGCTAGGACCCGTCGGGTCTTGTGTTTGCCCTTTCACTTAACTTTTACAAAAAATGATCTTAAATATGATTCTGTGAATAACAGATACATACAGTATGCCACCTTCTTTTTTCTTTTATTTGTATCATGTTCAGACTTGTTTTATTTTGGATCACATTCCGGAGCTGCTGCATATTGGGAATGAGTTTATTGTTCAGGAACAGGTAAAAGCTTATTCCATGCTGAAAGGAAAAGAAAAGGGACACAATGTTTGGGCTGTGGAGCCTTCTACAGAGGTCAGGGAGGGAGGGAAACCAGCAGGTAATAAAACATGGGAGAGAAAAAAAGAGGGTAGTTAAGATGGGGTGGGAAGCAAGGGAGAATGAGTCTCGACACTCAGGAAGAACATTAGTTTATTATTCACTGAATGTTTTTGCCTTACAAATAAAATCAGGGAGGCATCTGAAGCAAATATTATTGGGCCCAGTTTAAGTACGGGTAACAATAGTCTTGTATTAACTGTATTGAAATCTTTTTCATATCAGCCATTCATTGGACCCTTTCTTCTAAAAGCTCTCCTTTAATTTGCCATGAGACATATAGTTATTCTAGTTAGAAGGGCAAAAAATAACATGGAATAGTGAAATATTTAAATGGTGTAAAATGTAGTCTGTTAATGGTGTAGTAGAGCTCTTTTTAAAATTCTGAAAATTCTGTTCTTTAAGCTTTGTTAAATACAGGAATTGCTGTAAAAATGAAGCAATGATAGCAGATTTCCCAGACGACATTGGGAACTTACTTTAGTACATAGTACATAATGCAGTATTTTCATTTGGTGATTGCCTACAAAATCAGTTTCAATTAATGTAGTGTCTCAGAGTATTCAAGTCAACCTATTTGATATTCACTGTAGCAAGAGTAGATCCATGTTTGTATTGAGACAGTTAACATATCCACAGTGATGATGGTACATTCATGAAAGAATTGATTATTTTACATCACAGAAACTGATGGGTGCCTTTGTGTTCCTTGTTCATTATCAACAATAGAAGTTAACTTGTATGTACAGTACTGTATGCTAAATGTCTAGATGAAAAGTGCATCCATACCATACATTAGGTTTTCTATGGAAATGATACCTATTAATATCAGTGGCGACCCATATATTACAGGAGCAATAAATCCATAGAAATGATGTCAGTGTCGTCAGCCCAGGAACAAAGCTTTTAGACACACTTTTATTACAACAGGTTTATTGGCTGTGGTTTAGGAAAGGAGCGGCAGAAACATTAACATGCTTCTTTCTATCAAATTGCATTGGCAAATTAAATTACCAAAGTCTAAAGATAGAGTCTAATGAAAGTCTGAGTTTGTAGATTTGTCCAGACCCTGTTGATGTGATAGTGCCGGCTAATACCTTGTTTTCCCCTGCTTTGTTCATCCTTTCAAGGTCAGGGGAGGTAGATTATTATCACTGAGGTAAATGTCCATCTGGAACTAATCCAAAATCCAAGACTACAATAGTTTGGCCATTACAATATTGATAGATTTCATCTGATTGTATAGTGTTTCGCGCCTTCTACCCTGGTACTAAAACAGCTAAAAAGCATCTAGAATGCAGCAGATAATGAAAATAAGTTTGATATCACCGGGAGAGTTTCTGAGGGATAGACATTTAATCTTTTCTTTACTGCTATACGTTATTCACTTTATATTTTTTAATGACATTTCTGTATTCTGTGTTTTAATCTTTCAAATTACTTTAACAAGGCCCCAGTTAAGGTACACGTGTTGTCCTTTCGCTGGTTTTTAGGGCTTTGTTATACCTACAATGACTAACTCTTTCATACAAGAACTCTTCCAAAATAATTTGGACAAATCCAGAATCTTGGTGATGAAAAATGTCTGTGTTGGCTAGGAATACAATACTTTTCTATGGGGTTTTAATGTATAATTTTATGTTATGTGTTTAATGTTGCGTTTTGCATTTAGGTTGTGTTGTTATTATTAGGAAACAATTTTTTAAAAAGATATACAGTACATAAAGCACTGCTTCAGTTCAGGGATCATGAGAATATACTGTAAGAATGTTTGCAAATTAGTTGTTGGGCAGGCCCATCTACCTCTTTTGATTGGTAGAAGCTACTGTAATTTGTCCAATGTTATTGCATCTTCTTGAGAGAAGCAATGTTTTAGAAACTGAAAATAATGGCTGTGTATCATGTTCCATACTCCAACAACCCTTTCAGTAAATACGGTAGATACGGTATTCTCAGTTTCAGAAACACAACCCCTCGTTTTCTGTCAAGTCCTGTGGTTTGTGTTTCGTCATTGATTTTGAAAAAGTCCACTGAATTGACTGTTTCAGTGCCTTGGAAGGTTCTGAATACTTGAATCGTGTCCTCTCATACTGTTCTAGTCTGTCAGTGTAGAACATTCCTTTGAGTCTGGTAATATGCTGTACATAGTTGCTCTTCTATAGACTGATTCCAGAGCAGCAACATTTTTTTTCTGCATAGGAACTTAAATGAAGTTTTACTAACACATTACAGTTACAGTTTTAAAATAGCATTCATTGATTTAAATTCTTCATTTGGAACTCACATTATTTAAAATGGATAACATAAATGCTTAAACATGTCTTTATCTTTTCTTGAAAACATTTATATTTCATGTTCAGTGTTTCCCATATTGATCATGTATGTGTTTTATTACCTGCTTATTAAACATTCTGCATTTGTCTACAAGAAACAATGTAATTTAAACAATGTTAAGATCCCACATATGAAGTATGTCTAAATGTTTTTGAATTTCCACCTTCTACAATGTTTGCTAATTCTCTTAATTTGGCATTGTGCAAATATGACTAGCTTAATCATTTTACCAAATGAAGATATTTTAAATAAATCAGGAAGAGCATTAATCCGAATAAAGCTCCCTGTGGTATTCCACTCATTAAGTCAATATTTCAACAGACTCTTAATCCAAGAAAATGTGTTTCCCTGAATACTTGCCACTTGTATTTTTAGAATTAATCTTTAATGAGAATTTTTATCACACTTCTGAAAATCTAAATTTACCATATAATATTCTGAATTTATATCAATTTGCTGGTATTGCTTGTTCAAAAGAACTATATAACAAATGAGACCTACAGTATGTTTTCTAAGTTAGTTAGTTATAATGTTAACTATAGTACAGTATATCCTGAACTTCAGTTGTAAAGATGCTCTTCTTCAGTAGTTGTAAGAAAACAATATTTGAAGTGTTTGATATTTAAAAAGCTTTTTAAAGGATTTTTTGTGAGAGGTGATTTCAGACATAGTGGCTATTTTGTTGTGTTTATTTTAAGAAACGAATGTTTCCTCAGGAAATAAGCAAATATTAAAAGTGATTGATTGAGACTTGAATTTGTATTCTTTGCTGCTGTCATATCCCCTTCATACTAGTTATTAAAGCAGTTTGTACAATATACAGGGGAGATTGACAGTAGAGGGTAGATTGTGTTTTATTTCAATGTATATTGGAACTTTACCCCTAATTTATTTCTTTTATTTATATTTTTCTTCAGTGAAAGGAACAAAATATGCATGAATTGATCTTTTCCTTTCATCCTGAAAAGTAAAATGTATGCTGATTAAATATAACGAAATTCACATCTGCAGAAGATAGAGATATATACAGTACTAGTTATACCCTATATAATGATATAATAAATGTGAGGGAAAATTATGATAGAAAGTTACATACATTTTAAAAAAACAAACAATATTGAGTCTTAGCAAACGAGTGAATCCCAGTTCTTTCAATATGTGGTTGGGAAGACAATGTGTTTTATTTGACTTAATGTCCTTTTGTCACAGTATGGAAATAATTAAAAATAAAACTGAAATTGTCTAGTACAGTATTAAAAGGCACATTAGCCTCACAACTTGCTGCCATTACCTTTTATTCCTTTATCTTGTTTTGTCAGTAGAAAAAGTATCTGTTTAGCCTCTTGTGATTTAATATGCTGTGTATACAGCTCAGCTCAGCTCAGCTAAATCATTAGGTAATAGCAATTCTTTGTTTTCTTATTTTTGCATAACTGTGCTTGTGTTTGTTAGATTTTTTTTGTCATGTTTGCCATTGACACCCTGGAGCTATTTCTTAAGGTAAGTTAGAAGAACACACTGTTATCTTTACAGTGATAGGCTTATACTGTACAGTAGGTTGCTGAAAGAGATGGAGTTAAAATTTAGTCCATGATTGTCAGCTGAGTACAGTACCCTGGACAGCGCTCAGAGGCCTGCATTTCCTGATCCCAGCTGTATTCTATAAATTGAGTCACAGACCTGTGACTAGATGTTTCAAAAAAGCTCCAAATACAAATATTTATTTATGAAAGCCGGAAATTCCCCATAATTCCCTCCCACCCGTACCCATCTTCCAGTTAAGCCAATCACAATTTTAAATCCTTTAGTAACACTATGACTGTGATAAAGTATTACAAATGAAAGAGTTGAAAATTCTATAGCATGTCAAGTTGAAATGTATAACTACAGTTTATTTTTTTCCGCAATCATGAGGCTGGAGTTTTTAAACCATGAGCAAAAGAATGCGTCCGTGCTGGGAATTGTACATCAGGGTTAAGGCTATTGAGTTGAGGGGGTGTTTTTTTCACTTTTTCCACACACAAGTGCAGCTAGTCTTTGAGGTTACATTTCAGATATGGTGGCTAGAATTGTCAAGAGCTTTAGAAAATGTGTCCCTGGT